TTAAGCTGGAAGACAGAAAATTCCTGCGAGATGAGGGTTCGTACTCTGAACCATCTTTCTTGCGAACTGAGATGAGGAACTTGGACATGAGGTGACGTGAGGTGAAATTGGGCTTAATGTCGCGTCCAAGATTATTGCACTTATATAGCGACGTGCATGCATGTGTGCGTGTGGCTGCTTGTACTACAGTCCGTTTGACTCCAAATGAGAACGATGAATTGCAAAATCACTTTAAATCCAGAAAACTGTATGAAACACCAATACGGTACTTGACCATGAATACCCTGTACCCAACAAAATCTGAATTTTGTTTAATTAAGACCCATGACGGATGAAGTTCTTTAAGAAACTATCATGTAATTTTGTATAGAAATGTGTACATGACACGTAGGATGACAAACCGTGGAAGGAACAGCGCAAGCACGGTATGCACGTGCTACACAGTGACCGTGTTCATTCAATGACAGATGCGCTACTCAGCAGATGTTAAACAGTTGATGTTGAATGTGTATGATTTCTTTAGAAGTGAAGCAGAAAGAGCAAAGCCTTTTTATGCAATTAATAAATTCTTGAAACGAGCTTCAAAAGCTCTTGGTATGTCCCCTCAGAAACTAAAATATGTTGTTAGTCGACGAGATACAAATAGTCAGGCCAAGGAGATAGGGAACATGTCAAAACCACGCAAGGTTGATAAATTAGACAGTTTTCAGAGGGATCAAGTCAGACGTGCAATTGTTAAACTGCTTTTAGAAAATAAGTACCTGTCCCTAAGAATTTTGAAGAAACACCTTGAAACTGACCATGATTTACGTGTTACAAAGTACAAACTATGGCAGCTGTTGCATACATTTGGTTACAAATACAAAAAGATAACCGGAGAAAATAGGGCTGTGTTGTGTGAACGGTCTGACATTGTTCCTCTCCGAAATCATTACCTTCGTACCATCAAGCAGAAACGTGAAGAAGCATATGAGCCCGTCTTCTTAGATGAGACATGGGTAAATGCGTCACACACAGCCAGCAGTCAGTGGGTACCCAGTGGTGACTGTAAGGAGTCTGGTAGAAAGTTACCAATGGGAAAGGGTGAAAGACTCATAGTTCTCCATGCTGGTTCTGCTAGTCAGGGTTTTCTCCCAGACTGTGACTTCGTCTTTAGAGCCAAGGCCAAAGACAACAGGGACTACCACACAGAATTGAACGGCAATGTATTTCTGGAGTGGGTGAAAGATAAATTAGTCCCTGCTTTGCCTACCAAGTCTCTCATTGTCATGGACAATGCACCGTATCATAGTGTGCAGGATCCAGAAAGCAAGACTCCAACCTCTAATAACCGTAAAGGAGACATGGTTACTTGGCTGCAACGGAGGAACATTACCTTTCCTTCTCGAGCGATGAAACCACAGCTCTATGAAATCATCAAAACTATGAAACCTGACCCCGTGTATAAAGTTGACAGTTACATCAAGGGTCAGGGTCACACTGTCTTACGACTGCCACCTTATCACTGCGACCTGAATCCAATCGAGTTGGTATGGGGCATCGTCAAGGGTGACGTTGGACGATCGAACACAACTTCAAATTACGAGACGTTGAACAACTCGTAAACGAATCCCTTGGTCGGGTAACAGTAGAAACATGGAGGCGTTGTGTGGCCACAGTCGTTGACGAGATAGAGCCACGTTATTGGTCACGAGATGGACTACGGCCAGCAACAGTCCAACCTATAATAGTGGCAGTCGGTTCAGGCACCAGCAGTTCCGACGACGAGATCTATGGCAAGAGCGAGTCAGATTGCGACTAAAATTATCATGAGACGGCCCCTCTAACGCATTGTCATTTCCCCTACCACAGAACGTGCAGTGCATGCGTGCTTGCGCTGTGCCTTCCACGGTTTGTCCCCACTACGTGTCATGTACACATTTCTATACAAAATTACATGATAGTTTCTTAAAGAACTTCATCCGTCATGGGTCTTAAATTAAACAAAATTCAGATTTTGTTGGGTACAGGGTATTCATGGTCAAGTACCGTATTGATGTTTTATACACTTTTCTGGATTTCGAGTTATTTTGCAATTCATCGTTCTCATTTGGAGTCAAACGGACTTCTTTTTTTGTGTAGTCGGGACTGATGCCGATTTATAGTGCTAGCACACTGAGATACCATGCCGCAGTTTAACATGAATACCCCACTCAGACACAGTATACTGACTCCGAGCCGACCAGTCCTTATTTTAGCCGCTTAATGCCGGTCAAGCCGAAGACCCGGGTCGATTCCCGACATGGGTACAATGTGTGAAGCCCATTTCTGGTGTTCCCTGCCGTGATATTGCTGGGATATTGCTAAAAGCGGCGTAAAACCATACTCACTCATTCAGACAGGGTAACAACAAGTACCATCTTTTAACGTCTTTTGGTATGACGCGGCCGGGGATCGAACCCCGGACCTTCCGCTCTCCAGGCGGACGCTCTACCACTAGACCACGGAGGCGGTACTTGGACATGAGGTTATCGAGAACAATGGGTTCTATTTCTACAACTGGTCTTGAAGCTTCAGGACGTAGGCAGTCTTCTTTTTGATGTTTTCATTTTCTTGTTCATCAAGAAATCTGTCAACATCTTCACTACAAACATTGTAGAAACGTTTGGAAGGAGCTTCTTCATGTTGTTCAAATATACTAAATCAGTTGAAGCTAGTAAATGGACAATATCCATCTTCACTTTGTTGTTTCTTGACAAGGATTAATGCTTGCCGTAAAATGCGACTATGCTTCATGTAAAAGGCGACTAACGGGATCGGGTGGTCAGGCTCGCTGACTTGTTCGACGCATGTCATTCATTTAAGCTGCGTTGATCAATGCTCATGATGTCAATCACTGGATTGTCTGGTCCAGATTTGATTATTTACAGACCACCGTCATATAGCTTGAATAATGCTGAGTGCGGCGTAAAACAACAAACGGACCAACCGACCGACTAGGATGAGCAGAATATAATCCGTTTCAGGGGGAGGTAATTCAAGTACAGGGTAAAGGGGAGGTAATTCAAGTACAGGGTAAAGGGAAGTAAGTCTGAGTGGCAAGTAGTTCTGGCAAAGTGTCAATCTCATTAAAATCAGACCTTTACCGCTAAACAAACATCTGAAGACATCCCATTAGGGGTCACGTCAGAACGACCTTTCATCCGACCAATCAGTGCGTCACTTACCAGATTATGAAAGTGACAGTCTGAATGTGATTTCTAATCATGCAATCTCGAAAACTTTAACATGGTGTATTCCGAACGATTGTTACGGGTTTAACGACAGAATCCTAACAATCTAGACCATCTATTAGCCATTCCAGAATGTCTTTTTGTTCAGGTTTCAAATTTGTAATCGAGAATTTGACAAAATATGTTTCGAAACGTAGTCGCCAATTTGAAATTTGTGCCGTAAAGCACGAACAAGCTGCCGTCTGATTGGTCATTCCATTGGTCGGTCAAAGTTCGCACAAGGTCGGCCTGACGTGACCCATAATGGGATGTCCTCAGATCTTTGTTTAGCGGAAGCGAGAACAAAGATCTGATTTTAATGAGATTGGGCAAAGTGTTATGTTCACTGCAGTGAACATATCACTTTTCTGTCACTGCTGTGAAATATCACTTTTCCAAATGACAGAAATCTCAGTCTTTCACACTAAAGTATATAATGAACAGAGTTATCTGTGCAAGGCCAAGAGTATATGCTTTTAGTAAATGCCAACAAAATATATGTGATGTAACAATACTAGAGCTAACTGCAGCAATAAATAACTTTCTCCCACTTACTCATACATTTGACAAGAAGATCATTTGACCTGCATTTTTCTATTTTTTACCCAAATTTGTCTGGCCATAATAAGAATTAAGAATGAGAATTTATGGATGTCAACTTCTTTATTATGAGGAACACAACGTTTTGGAGTATATGCTTACTCCTTCATTCACCGGAAAACAGAAAAGAAATATATTCTAAAAATCTCTTAATAGCGAAAGGCAGCAGTTGACAACCTGGTATTTGTGTGTGCAGTTTCGAGAAAGAGCACCAATTTACAGATATGTTTTGGACAAACACACTACTATGAATAGTGTCAAAGTCAAACTTGTTGCCATGGAAACAAGTTTTTTGTTTTATATAAAAAATCCTAAATAGCAAAAGGCACCACTTCACACTTAATACATGTACCAGGTTTGGATGAAACGTCTTTCACAATTTTCAAGTTGTGCTACAGAAACGACACCTACCCCCACCCTTTTGAGACTAAGTCCAAATTGCTTCCAAGGCAATCAAAAATATAAAAAGGTCAAACATCCCCAAACAGCCGCAGGCACAACTCCAGTATCTGTTTGATATATCTGCCAAGTTTTGTAGAAAGATATTGAATGGTTATTGAATTGTGCTCCAGATACAAAATCAACGCCCTTATGAGACTAAGTAAAAATTGATTCCATGGAAATTAAGAAAAATAAAAATGCATAAAATCTGTATATAGCAAAAGGCACCACTTCAGGACCTGTTTGATATATCTGCCAATTTTGGGTGAAAAATATTCAATATTTTTGTTGTTGGTATTTTTATGCTCTGGAAACGAAATGATTACGAACGGACAGTCAGACGGACCTACAGATGGACGGACGGGCAGACAGTCCAGGCATTGAACATATCCCCCTGCATTATATGCTGAGGGAATAAAATGTACAACATGCCTCAATATGCAAAACATACTGTAGGCTCGTTGTTTGTTGTTTAACACCTCTGTCATAAATATTCCAGCAATATCATGGCAATCAATCATAGATGCATCTTACGACAACCAACTGCGAAGCTTCACGGCTATCAAAGTCCACTGTCCACTGTGCATGTGCACAGTCTAAACACCTCATGCATAAATCCAGTCTGTGTTGCAATGATCAATAAGTTGATGATCAGTTGATCAATCAGTCTCATCTGCACATTGTGTCTCACAACTCTGCAGATCAATATCAATCACATTGTCTGTTTATTTACAATCTCATGCATAATTAACATGTTCATTACTCCATCAATCACAGTGCTCACAGACATCAGCAAGATATCAGCAGGACTGTTAATGCAGTTTTTGAAACCACCTACCAAACCTGTGTCTAGATTTTCAAAACAATCTGAGGGTTAAGATTATCATAAAGCTATCTTGAGCACATCATACTCTGTCGTAGCCTATTTTTGAAGCTATCGTCATCCTAAGATAATATAAGAATGTCATAAATCTTAAGATAGCTCCATACTCTGTCGTAGCCCATTCCTGAAGCTATCGTTGTCCTAAGATATTAAAAGAATGTCATGAATCTTAAAACAGCTCCACACCTGTCTACGTTTATGTTTCATCTTCATCCAAGATGGAGCATGCTTTGCCAAAGGTATATTTGAAACTAGAATGTGTTTTACTCCAAAACCTATGTCTCCCTCCAAATTTCTTTTCATACAGTAGGTTTGTTGTTTAAAGGCGCACTCAGCAATAGTCCGGCTATGTGACTGTGGTCTGTAAATAATCGAGCCTGGAGCAGGCAATTGCTGAAGACCTATTCTAACCCAGATCTTCACATGTCTTTTAATACATTAGTTCAAGTCGATACTGTAAATGTGTTTTCAAATCCAGAAAAAACAATAATAGCCCGGAAAGATAATTGTTTCCTGCAGAAATATTCATAAGCTGTAAAGTCTTGGCGGGAAGCAAATGATATTTGTTTAGAACATAGTCCAAATTGTTTCCAAAATGAAAAAATATTTAAATTGAAAAATATGAAAAACCAATAGTTGAGCAGCTGATCTGTGTACATGTATAGTTTCATGCAAAAATATTCTTAGTTTGAGTATTATGGCTTGGAAAAAGCATAGAATTGTTTGAGATTAAAACAGAATTGTTTCCATGGAAACATTGGAAAAGAAAATTCAGAACATTTTCAAAATAGCAAAAAGGGCAAGTGAATCTGATGAGCAATGCATATCCCAAGTTTCATTGAAATACGTTGAATGGTTTTCAAGATATGACCCTGAAACAAACCCTACCCTTGAAGTCGAAATTGTTTCCATGGACATTTTGACAAATTTTAAACAAGTAAAAGGCTCCAGTTAAGCTGATGACCAATCACTGCATATGTGTAGTTTCATAGAAATTTTAAACAGTTTTCAAATTATGGCCCAGAAATGAACCTGTCCTTGTTTGAGACTAAGTTGAAATTGTTTCAATGGAAACATAAAAAAAAGGAAAATTTCGAAAAATTTCAAAATAGCAAAAGGCACCAGTTAGGGTGATGAGCAATGCATCTGGCAACTTTCAATGTAAAGACAATGATCTGTTTTCAAGTTTTGACAACAGGAACAAGATGGAACTGTTCTCCCACTAACAAATGCACCGTACGACATACAACAGTTATAAGATAATTTCCAAAATGTATCTTATCATAAAAACTTATATCATACTTTGAATGTAAGTTGTTAATATTAACCTTAACTAAGATCATTTTGAAAATCTAGACCAAGGAAATCAGAAACTGGGAATCTGAAATAGATTCTGCTGCATGCACTGATGAAAATTCCTCTTTGGTATTCGTTATAACAATCATTTTCTGTGCTTTTAGATCCCATGAACCAATAACCAAAGTGTCTGAGTCACAAAGTCTATTTATCTCCCAGGAGTCCGCTGTCCGGGCTAAGTCACAGCGTCTATTTATCTCCCAGGAGTCCGCTGTCCGGGGCGGATTCCCAGATGAGTTTCTGAACTTGTTTAAACTTGGGGGATGCAGCATCCTTCGTCAAGGCCAGCATCATACTCTCACTGGTCGTCAGAAAAGCACCGGCTTCCTTCATTCGATCAAATGCATACATTCTGGAAAAAAAGAGAAGCGATTGGACAACCACACCTGTCATATCCCATGTAGTGGTAATACAAGGTTGGTTGGTTTGTTGTTTAAGGCCGCACTCAGCAATATTCCAGCTATATGACAGCGGTCTTGAATGAGTCTGGACCAGACAATCCAGTGATTGACATCATGAGCATCGATCCAAGCAAATGGGATATGACCACCCGATCCCGTTAGTCATCTCTTACGACAAACATAGTTGCATCTTACAGCAAGCATGGGTTGCTGAAGACCTATTCCAGCCCGGATCTTCACAGGTAATGTAAGTAGACAGATCAAAAGCGTCTCCTCATTATGAATTCTCAGAGAAGTTTTGTCAGATTTCAAAATGTACAACAAACCACATTACATGATATTTGTCATATCACAATCTTACTGCCTGAGAAATTCATAATAATACATTCAGAAAACCTTGTTAAACCTATTATCAATTGCAAGTTAACTGAATCAATTTCATCAATGTGAATAATCACAATTGACGAAATTTAGGCTTAGCAAATCTGCCTTCCAATAACACAATTTGTTAAGAGCGCATGCTGTTAATGTAGATCTCTGCTGCTCTGTATGCAAACCTTTATTGTCCAGATTTAAAAACACCACCAACAATGAATAGCATCAACCAGTGTGCCCACACAATATACTCAGCACAACCCATGTGCACGCACAGCCTACCCCTATTGATACACTGGCAGAACAGCCCCATGTTGGTACAATGTTGGACTCTTGTCATGTTGCCAACATTGGACCAAGATGAAAATGCTGCGCAAAAGATCTTGTTGGACCAATATCATCTTCCAACAATGGCACCACGTTAAGGGTGACATTGGGCCAACATTGATCCCAAATCATTGTGTTTGCTGGGATGGCAAATGGGTGCAGGTCAGGGGGAGTTGCCTCCCTTGGATTATTTCAGTGAACACTCTTGTAATGTATTTTGATGAGAACATATTTCTACACTCCTGTCATTCTTGTAAGTTTTACATTAAAGTGTACATTTATAACAATTGTCCTATCTGAGTGTATTGATTGCCTTGTTTTACTCATTCATTATATTTCAACAAATCACATCTTCCCGAGGCAAGGGAGTTAACTGACTGTAAAAGTCCAGTTTCCACCCTTGCCGAAATAGGCTGGAATTTCCGGGTTCGATCGTAGTGCCACCAGTATCTGTTACGAGTTTAGCCCCTTAATAGACAGAACCCACGACATTCCACTCTCCAGGCAGACGCTCTACCACTGGACCAGAGAGAAGAATGCAGGGGTGCCATCTTCCCGATACCTGTCCACCATACTCCTGGAGGAACACACATCCACGATCACATGAACGTCATAGCTCCACTCTCCCACCCCTACCTGTCCACCATACTCCTGGAGGAACACGCATCCACGATCACATGAACGTCATAGCTCCAGTTTTCTCACACCCCTACCTGTCCACCATACTCCAAGAGGAACACGCATCCACGATCACATGAACGTCATAGCTCCACTCTCCCCCCCCTCCCAGTCCACCATACTCCAAGAGGAACACCCATCCACGATCACATGAACATCATAGCTCCACTCTCCCAACCCTACCTGTCCACCATACTCCTGGAGGAACACACATCCACGATCACATGAACGTCATAGCTCCACTCTCCCACCCCTACCTGTCCACCATACTCCAAGAGGAACACGCATCCATGATCACATGAACATCATAGCTCCACTCTCCCACCCCAACCCCTCCACCATACTCCTGGAGGAACACGCATCCACGAGCAAATGAACGTCATAGCTCAACTCTCCCACCCCTACCTGTCCACCATACTCCTGGAGGAACACGCATCCACGAGCAAATGAACGTCATAGCTCCACTCTCCCAACCCTACCTGTCCACCATACTCCTGGAGGAACACGCATCCACGAGCAAATGAACGTCATAGCTCAACTCTCCCACCCCTACCTGTCCACCATACTCCTGGAGGAACACGCATCCACGATCACATGAACGTCATAGCTCAACTCTCCCACCCCTACCTGTCCACCATACTCCTGGAGGAACACGCATCCACGATCACATGAACGTCATAGTTCAACTCTCCCACCCCAACCCCTCCACCATACTCCTGGAGGAACACGTATCCACGATCACATGAACATCATAGCTCCACTCTCCCACCCCAACCCCTCCACCATACTCCTGGAGGAACACGCATCAACGATCACATGAACGTCATAGCTCCACTCTCCCAACCCTACCTGTCCACCATACTCCTGGAGGAACACGCATCCACGATCACATGAACGTCATAGCTCCACTCTCCCACCCCTATTGTCCACCATACTCCTGGAGGAACACGCATCCACGATCACATGAACATCATAGCTCCACTCTCCCACCCCTATTGTCCACCATACTCCTGGAGGAACACGCATCCACGATCACATGAACGTCATAGCTCCACTCTCCCACCCCTATTGTCCACCATACTCCTGGAGGAACACGCATCCACGATCACATGAACATCATAGCTCCACTCTCCCAACCCTACCTGTCCACCATACTCCTGGAGGAACACACATCCACGATCACATGAACGTCATAGCTCCACTCTCCCAACCCTACCTGTCCACCATACTCCAAGAGGAACACGCATCCACGATCACATGAACGTCATAGCTCCACTCTCCCAACCCTACCTGTCCACCATACTCCTGGAGGAACAAGCATCCACGATCACATGAACATCATAGCTCCACTCTCCCAACCCTACCTGTCCACCATACTCCTGGAGGAACACGCATCAACGATCACATGAACATCATAGCTCCACTCTCCCAACCCTACCTGTCCACCATACTCCAAGAGGAACACGCATCCACAATCACATGAACGTCATAGCTCCACTCTCCCACCCCTACCTGTCCACCATACTCCTGGAGGAACACGCATCCAAGATCACATGAACGTCATAGCTCCACTCTCCCACCCCTACCTGTCCACCATACTCCTGGAGGAACACGCATCCACGATCACATGAACGTCATAGCTCCACTCTCCCACCCCTACCTGTCCACCATACTCCTGGAGGAACACGCATCAATGATCACATGAACATCATAGCTTCACTCTCCCACCCCAACCCCTCCACCATACTCCTGGAGGAACACGCATCCACGATCACATGAACATCATAGCTCAACTCTCCCACCCCAACCCCTCCACCATACTCCTGGAGGAACACACATCCACGAGCAAATGAACGTCATAGCTCCACTCTCCCACCCACCCCTACCTGTCCACCATACTCCTGGAGGAACACGCATCCACAATCACATGAACGTCATAGCTCCACTCTCCCACCCCAACCCCTCCACCATACTCCTGGAGGAACACGCATCCACGATCACATGAACGTCATAGCTCAACTCTCCCACCCCTACCTGTCCACCATACTGGAGGAACACGCATCCACGATCACATGAACATCATAGCTCCACTCTCCCAACCCTACCTGTCCACCATACTCCTGGAGGAAAATGCATCCACGATCACATGAACGTCATAGCTCCACTCTCCCAACCCTACCTGTCCACCATACTCCTGGAGGAACACGCATCCACGAGCAAATGAACGTCATAGCTCAACTCTCCCACCCCTACCTGTCCACCATACTCCTGGAGGAACACACATCCACAATCACATGAACATCATAGCTCCACTCTCCCACCCCAACCCCTCCACCATACTCCTGGAGGAACACACATCCACGATCACATGAACATCATAGCTCCACTCTCCAAACCCTACCTGTCCACCATACTCCTGGAGGAACACGCATCCACGATCACATGAACGTCATAGCTCCACTCTCCCACCCCTACCTGTCCACCATACTGGAGGAACACGCATCCACGATCACATGAACGTCATAGCTCCACTCTCCCAACCCTACCTGTCCACCATACTCCTGGAGGAACACGCATCCACGATCACATGAACGTCATAGCTCCACTCTCCCAACCCTACCTGTCCACCATACTCCTGGAGGAACACGCATCCACGATCACATGAACGTCATAGTTTCGCTCCAGCAGATCAAGTGCTGTTTGCTGTATGCAAGCTTGAGTCTCAATGCCACACAGGATCACTGACTTCAGATCTGGAACATGGTGAACAAATATCTACTCTAGCCACGGCAACCAATTCTGAATTATTACAGATCCTTTCTTGACAATGAAACTAATACATTAAGAGAGATTGACAATTCCACAACAACCTGTATATCTGTTCAAGTGAATTTCATGAATGTTGATAAGAGCATTATGTTTGTTTGTTTTTGTTTGGCGGTCTGTAAATAATCGAGTCTGGACCAGACAAACCAGCGATTAACATCATGAACATCGATCCATGCAATTCGGTTAACTCTGGTACTCAGGCCGGGTGGGTACTGAGTAGGACCCCGGTACCCACAGGACTACCCGAACCCATGGTTAGTCACATGATATATTGTTTCATGACATAAAATCACTAAAACTACACTAATGTTCACATGTCTTCAAGACTATGAACGCATTCCTTCAGATGTTTGAAAAAAGATAAAACTTCAGTCAACTTCAGTGTATATGCATGACCAGATAATTTTATTTATCATATAATGGGTAGGTTTCTCGGCAGGATAAAGCCAACGGATAAAAACGATATCCGTTGGGGTCATATGCGGATAGAGATGCAAATATCAAAGATCAAGTAGGGACTACTTTCACTGTTTATAAACAAACATGGCGTCGCCCTCATCATTCGGCGATCGAGTCAGAATTAACCATCGGGAATCTGGATAAACTACAGGGATAATTGCTATCATTATCAAAAGAACAGTCTAATATACTGAAATCAGTCTCTAACTGTGACGTAGCTAAGGCATTTTATGAGTTTGGGCAACTTTAGAGATATAAATTTCGAAACAATTTTGCGAGGGCACGAGGCCTAGCCAAGCGGGATCAGTAGCCATATCTGTGCTTGTAGACCTCTGCGACTTGAAACCTTCTCCACAAATTAAAATAGTTGGATTTGTCCGAAATGTGTTTGAATTGTTACCTTGTTTCGTTTTGTCGCTGTGTGTACATCTGACTACACTTCTTAACGTTATGACAGGACAGACCGACTGTCAACAACGACTGACCGTGGCCGTGACGTCTCATAGACTAAGGTTAGAGTAGCTTCCCTTTGACAAAGGACAGTTACTCTAGCGGACAGACAGATTGATTGCCGCAAAAGGCAATTAAAAACAATTGTTGTTTTGCGTATATGTTGCTTCGCCACTGTATAAGAAACAGATTTCAGTTGGAACTATATTGGCTACTGTCACTGTCCGACTGACACATCACTTACCCTGTGACGTAATAAATATTAATGCGCGCATTCCAGAAAAACTCGCAATGTTTCGGTTATGTATGTGAGAGAGGGAAAGCGATTTTGAAGCACAGAATTAAAGAATGACATTATATGATAAAGAGGTTATCACGCTTGTGGGTTTGGGGATGGTAAATATCCTGTATTAGGAATAAACACTATGTATTTAGCTCGCCAAGGCTCACTAAATACAATGTTTATTCCTAATGCAGGATATTTACCAACCGCAAACACACTCGCGTGATAACCTCTATATGTGTATCTAAATACATTTTGCTCGGGCTACTGTCAAACTATTCCCAATCAGACATTTTGTATCTATCTCTTGAAACCAACAGCGGGTACCCGGGTAGGGTCGGGTAATAGGGGTGTGGATACCCGGGTAGTAAATCAGGACCCGTCCCAGCCATACCTCTCATCTTTTTTATGTGTTCTTCAACCTCTGGTATGAGCATGGAGAAGCAGGTTTTGGGGAACACTTTGTGCTGGCTGACATCAAGTTCAGGAACGGTGGGGCCCAGGCCTGTCAACATACGTAAGAGTCTGTCATTATAGTGGAGTCTTAACATATGCTTACATCATTGAAACTCTGCAGTCAGTACTTCTGTGTATCAGACGTGTAAATCAAATCATCTTCTGACACAAACATTTCAATTTGTCACGTCTAATTCTGTACGCATTTTAGTCATTCAGGGACATAAACCAAAATGTGATCATTCGAAATGCTGAGGATAATTCCAGGCAACCCTAAAAGGGCCCCTTGTATCACCTTTTGGATATTGCTCTGTCACCACGACCGGCATGTCAAGCGTGTTGGCAGCATTCAGCATTCTGTTTGCTACATTGATAATTTGTGGAAAGTACTGAATAGTGGGCCGGAACTTTTCCTGCATGTCACACATAAATAATGTCGAGTTTTCTAAAGCAATCCTTCCCAATCTTCTAGAGGCCATGGTTGTGTTTATACTTTAAGGTCAGTGGAGGTCAAGGACTAAAGATGGAACGGAAACGAAACACGACCATTTAAAGTGAACTAGAACTAAGCAATCCTGCTGAATATTTTAAACAACATGTACATTGTAACTGTAATGATTATAATCTAAAACACTAGTGTAGCTAGTAATCATCGTTTCTCATTTAGTTTCGAAACATAAAACTACGTGTTTCGTTTTTGGATTTCAACAACACCGTGTGTCCTGAAAACAAGACAACTTATTCACTTACAAAATGTGATATAAACAAATATTCATTTTCGTTGGAAAGGTTTAGTACAGAACTATTGTTGTATTAATTCGGATGAATGTGTCGCATTTATATCATATAATTTCAAAGTATTATTACAATTTCAGAAATATTGTCTTCTGCCAATTTTCAAAATGTAATATTAGCTGTCCTCCCTATAGGTTTTGCGTTTTAACATGGCGGCCCCCGTGTAACAAGAAAATTTCCACCTTACTTATATTCATTCCATGGGTTCTTGGTTGCAAGCACAATTTACTCTACCGCTTCATGCGACTGGAATTAGTTAAACGATCTTATCTCAATATTTCCTTGTGTATGCCAAGTAATTTGATTAAAATGTTTGCCCCAAGACTAGGGAGCACTGTAGCCGGCGCCATCGTGTTTCTCACAGGGTGTTCTGTGTGGCAGTTTAGTTTGGGCACTGAAGTTACAGACTCAAAATATAAACACACCGATATCATTATCATTGGCGGTATGGGTGATCTGTCCAAGAGATACCTCATGCAGGGATTCTATAGCCTCATAACAAAGTATACAACTGAACATAATTCATTCACCCTCTACCCAACTGGAAGAACTGACCCAGAATCAACGGAACCAATTTTATCCAAAGTCCTTGACGAACGACTTACGTGTGAAGAGATGGATGGACTTGCGTGTAAAAAATCCAAAGAGAATTTCATCAGTTCAGTCAATTATGCACAATTGAAAACAGATGAACATTATAAAACCTTTTGTGATGGTATAAAAATAAAATGGGAAAATCTTATGAATGGAAAATTAAACGTTAATGTAGAGGCTATATTTTACTTATCAATTCCATCGAGTGGGTATTTATCAGCTGCACAATATATAAAGAATTACTGCCGAGTGAGCCATGAAAACTGGAAAGTGAAAGTTGTATTGGAAAAGCCTTTTGGCCTTGATCGCCAGTCTGCTAAGGAAATGGGTCTTGAGTTGTCCCATTCTTTTTCTGAAGAAGAGATCTACAGGGTTGACCACTACCTTGGAAAAACAATAGTTAGAGAAATCATAAATTTCAGGTATATTTACATTTATCATCATATAAACATGGCATAGGATTAATAGAGTATTCATCACGAGTGTTTTTTAATATGGGAAATATCAACCGAGTCTTAGTTAATCGGTATTTGCCGAGCCTTTGGCGACACGAGTGATGAATTCTATTTATCATTTTCAAATTTTTGCTTCCAAATTAAGGAATAATTGCATTAGACATTAACATCAGCAACTTGTCGAAATCTTACGTATAGATCGTGCGTAGTGATACATGTTTTCCATAGCCATGTAAACCAAAATAAACAATTCGCTGAGAAAAAAAGTTCCTCGGATTATTTTAAACAAAATACTTGAACAGACTTTTGCAGAATAATTGAAACTTTAATAACGGTAACAACAACGATTCTGTGTAATCTGATTATATCTCTGGTGTAACTTCACTTATAATATATAGTTTCAAATCAAACCGCTCCCTCTTCCGGTTATCTAATTTGCATATCTAATTTGCATACTTATGTCATTGGGGTATGACATACATGTTTTTATGTCATAAGCTTATGTCATGGATAAATGCTTAAGTTAAATGATAAATTGTCTTACAATTGTTTGAGTCTCATGTCAGGGTTACCCTTGCCTCTCTCTGAAATAAGAGGCCCTCATCACTACTACTTTTAACAATTATGTTTTGAATACAAGGGATATCTTGAAAGTACAAAGTTGTATCAATGTGTCAAATTATTATACAAACACTTTGAACACGAAGATTACTCTGTCCCTAAATTTGGGCAACCTGAACACTCAGCAGAAAATGTACCTTGCATTAAGAGTGAGTGCAGGTTGTTTTAACCTGTGGGAATTTAGAAAATGTCCCCAGAGTCCGATGTTATCAAATGGGTTAGAAATATGTGTCAAAGCAGATTGTGTGTCATTGTTAGTATGTTTGAATTTTGTTTAACGCCGCAGTCAGCAATATTCCAGCTACATGACGGCAGTCTGTAAATAATCAAATCTGGACAAGACAGTCCAGTGATTGACATCATGAGCATCAATCCATGCTATTGGGATCGTTGACATGCATCCACTTTCTGATTGGTCCGTTAGTCTGAGTAGCATAGCAAATCAACTTCGCTAATGAAAGTCAAGGGTGGGTAATTTAAGATCGCGAGAACTACTGGAATGGATCCAGGGTTTAAACCGAAATGCGAGCCCTGAAGACCTGGAGGATGTTGAATGTAACACACAATACATATATGCTCACACTGCATCACTTGGGTTTTCCTCCCACACGAACCTAACAGGCCAGGACAATTATGTTTTAATTCCTCCCGCCTATTCACTCATTTGTTGTTAATCTATTGGATTCTGGGTAAGAGTTGATCCCCAGGAACGTGAAAGGCATCTGTATGAATCAGGTCGTCAGGCTTGGTGACTTGGTTGATAGCATGTCTTTGTACCCTAATGGCGTGGATCGTTGCTCACAATATCAATCACTGGATTGTCTGATGTAGATTTGATTATTTACATGCTGCTGTCACCCGTGAAGATTCCGGGGTAGAATAGGTCTTCAGCAACCCATGCTTGCCGTAAAAGGTGACTATGCTTGTCGTAAAAGGCGAGTAATGGGATCGGGTGGTCAGGCTCGCTGACTTGGTTGATGCATGTCATTGATCCCAATTGCGTGGATCGATGCTCATATTAATCACTGGATTGTCTGGTCCAGACTCTATTATTTACAGACCGCCGTCATATAGCTGGAATATTGCTGAGTGTGGCATTAAACAACAAACCAACCAAACCAACATGCTGCTGTCATATAGCTGGAATGGTGCTGAGTGCAGTGTTAAACAACAACAAAAAGTACTCATTTGTTAAATCTTATTGAACTATATATATTTATCCTTTGATATGCTTTTTTCCCTAGGAAACAAAACGATCACGTGGAAGCTTTACTGAACAGAGACCACGTTGAGCAAGTGGAAATATTTATGAAGGAAACCATTGGAGTTCAAGGTAACAAATAACGTTAACACAGGACAGAGGTCAGGGTTAGAATTTAACACCAGCCCACTTGCCCGGGGCTAGTACAAATACCTGCGGGCTAGTACAAATACCTGCGGGCTAGTACATGTTTCCAATTTTCCCCATTGTGTTAACATTACAAGGGCATTTTATGTCTACTCATGCTCATCTTCCCGAGGCAAGAGAGTTAACTGACTTTAAAAGTGCAGTTTCCACCCTTGCCGAACTAGGCTAGTATTATGGAGTTACATTTTTGCTGGACTAACGAGTCTATGCATAGTCCAATCAAAATCACGCACCGAAATCGAAATCCGGTTCGTACACTGTCGTACACTGTCGTACAGATTTCGGTCGATTGCAGGATTTGCAATGCATATTCACGGCCAACTCATTGTCAGCAGATATTTTCCCAATGTTTTCATGTTTTTAATCAAGGGGCTCACATGATTTGATGCATTTCGCGAAGTAAGACCCGTTTTATCAGAATATAGATCTTGATTGTTGATCAGATCTAACTGACCGGGCGCCACCATTTTGTGTAAAGCAAACGCAAGTGATATGAGAGGTGGAATCTGATTGGTCCATAGGAGAGGCTTAGAAGGGACACGACTTGTAATAGCCACTGGTGGCGCTACGATCGGGCCCAGTAATTCCAGCCTAGTTCGGCAAGGGTGGAAACTGGACTTTTAAAGTCAGTTGACTCTTTGCCTCGGGAAGATGACTCATGCTAGTAACATGAGTGAAGTTTTTGAGTTTAGTTCTAACCCTGGAGGTCCATAACACCATTCATTGTTTCATATTTCCCTTACTTTGGGTAAATTGTCTTGTGTTTATTCCAAAGGGGAATGCAAATAAAAAGTCACAAGCCTTTGGCCTCAAGGCCTTAAACGTGCACGCTCTGTTGGTTTATTTCTATTTGATATCCTTTTTCAATAGCTGAAATAGACCCATGAAGATCTGTGGTAGAATTGGTCTTCAGCAAACCTATTCTTGCCATAAAAAGCGACTATGCTTGTCGTAAGAGGCGATTAACGATCTGGTGGTCAGACTCGCTGACATTGTATTGCAATTACGTGGATCAATGCTCATGATGTCAGTCCCTGGATTGTCTGGCCCAGACTCGATTATTTACAGACTGCCGTCATAAAGCTGGAATATTGCTGAGTGTGGCAACAAAACAGGCAAAACAAACAAGCAATAGTTGAAATAATTTATGACACCAACAGAGTGTGCTTGATGAAGGCCGGGAGGACGGAAGCTTGAGACTATGTAAGTTTATGTATTTTATGTATTTTAAAATTGTCATATAAACAGTAGTGAACCGTGATTATTTGATACATTGTTTAATACAGTGTAACAACAAAGACTGGTCGGCTCGGAGTCGGTATGTCTGAGTGGGTATCCATCTTAAGCTGTGGCATTGATATTTCAATGGGCTAGCAGTATAAAGCTGGCATTGGTCTGAACTAGTACAGGCTGCCATTCACACACGCTTGCACATCGCTATATAAGTGCCATAAGTCCACTGAAGATTCCGGGATAGAATTGGTCTTCAGCAACCCATGTTTGTCGTAAGAGGTGACTAACGGGATCAGGTGGTCAGGCTTGCTGACTTGGTTGATGCATGTCATCGACCCCAATTGCGTGGACCGATGCTCATGATGTCAACCACTGGATTGTCTGGTCCAGATTTGATTATTTACAGACTGCTGTCATATAGCTGGAATATTACTGAGTGCGGCATTAAACGACAAACAAACAACATGATGTTAAACCCCATTTCACCTCACCTTATTGGAGGGATATACTTTTTCTTAGTCACTCCACATCGAACAGATTCAGCTGTATCTAAATCAATGATGCTAGTCATGAGAGCTACAAACAACACATCTGTCAGTGGTACCATGGTTATGTTCTTGTTACATTTCCAGGCAGGACTGACTTCTATGATCAGACTGGCGTCATGAGAGATGTCTTCCAGAACCACCTCACGGAACTGCTCACAATCATCGCCATGGAGATCCCCCAAAACTCATCATCATCAGTCGACATCAAGGTCAACAAGCTGAGACTCCTGAAACAGATAGAGCCTGCCAAAATGTCTGCCACTCTTCTTGGTCAGTTCTCCGAATATCTCAAAGATGCAGAAAAGGAACAGGCCGATCTTGAAAAGTCTAAATTTACGCCAACATTTGCAGCAGTGATGTTAAAGGTACATTCCCCGAGGTGGGATGGTGTTCCATTTATTCTTGCTGGTGGAAAGAAGCTTGATGAACGCTCAGGTTATGTCAGGGTGGTATTTAAGAGAAATACTGTCTGCACTAATAATTGTAGGGACAAAAATTTACAACAATTGATTTTTTACATAGGTCATGGTCAGCTGAAAATGCCTGCCATCTTGATGTCCAAATCTATTGGTCAGCCTGTTTGGCCCCCGGGAGTCTCTGACCAGTCCTCCGTACCAAAACCGTCTGAATTATTTGGGCAGAAAAGGGATGATTTATTTATTGGAATCCCCCATAGAGACCCAGCTGCTTATACTGTTTTGATAGAAGATTTGTATCTCGGTGTCAAGGACAAATTTATTGGGACAAGTCATTTACTCTCACTGTGGGATATTTGGACTGATGTGAGTTCATCTTTCTCTAAACTTACTCCTAAGATTTACGATGCAGGTGACAAAGATGGAAAGTTGTCATTCAGAGTGACAAGTAACAAACTGCAATATACTGAAAATATTTCTGATTCTGTTACCATGGTAACAGGAGCGGCATCAATTCAAAATGAATCATTTGGACAAACCCCTTCTTCCTTTCTTGGCAACAAGTTAATTACTACAGATCCTCAGAGGCTTGCCTTCCGTTTAGCCGAAGACATAGCTCACTCAATCAAGCAAACATTAAAGAGGTCATTGTCGTACCATATTGCATTTTCAGGAGGGAAAAGTCCAATTATTTTATTTGAAACCCTTGCACAGCACTTTGCTGATATTCCATGGCGGTATGTGCATATTTGGCAAGTGGACGAAAGGTGTGTTCCTGCTACTGATAAAGATTCCAATTTTGGTAAAATAGAAGAATATCTTTTGAAATATATACGCCTACCCTATTTCAATATTCATCCAATGCCTGTAGAAGTTACAGGCAAGTTGTGTAGCCCTAATGATGAGGGGTTACAGTTGTATCAAGACATGATCAAAGATCAAATAAGTGATAAAAGATTCGACTACATTGTTTTAGGACTTGGCGCCGATGGTCACACCGCGTCCCTTTTCCCAAATAACCCAAGCCTAAGTGCGATAAGACAGTTTACAGCGTTCGCGTACGGGCCGGAAGATTCGTTTGAAATTCAGAGAATGACTCTAACATTGCCAGTCATTAACAAGGCTAAACAGCTGTCAGTCTTTGTAACTGGTGAAGGGAAGAGGCAAATTTTGAAAGATTTAGAAGATGCGGAGGGATCTAAGGATGAGTACCCGATCCTTGGTGTGAAGCCGGATATAGGAAACGTAACCTGGTATATTGATTCAGAAGCGTTGATAGATTGAAAGAAGTCTGTTGTGAGGATTAAGTGCAAACTTTGGCCGCTGGAAAGAAATGCATTTGGTTCCCCATAGAGTTGTCTCCCTTTGACTGTGGGATGTGGCTTGGGGGAAATAGTTTGGATAGATATTCAAGTTTCAGTCTTTGCCTGGTACCATCCTGCTGAAGAATTGTGTGTTTTGTGAGTCATCTATGTGTGGAGTGTATCTTGTATGCTTGTGATTGCTTGTTACACATGTTATGGAATGTCGGAAGTGTTGCAATTCTTGTTTTGCTTGTTGATTTATTCGTCTGATGATGTGGTATATTTTGTTTGATAGAAATATATATTTTCATAATTGTGAAATGATTGTATTCTTTACCAGGCAACAAGGCAGTTTTATCAATGAAATCCAAAGATATTGTGTAAAACTCAATAGGTACCATGGGTACTGTGTACTTGAGATACTTGAGTGTCTTGGGTACTGTGTACTTGAGATACTTGAGTGTATTGGGTACTGTGTACTTGAGATACTTGAGTGTATCGGGTACTGTGTACTTGAGATACTTGAGTGTCTTGGGTACTGTGTACTTGAGATACTTGAGTGTCTCGGGTACTGTGTACTTGAGATACTTGAGTGTCTTGGGCACTGTGTACTTGAGATACTTGAGTGTCTTGGGCACTGTGTACTTGAGATACTTGAGTGTATCGGGTACTGTGTACTTGAGATACATGAGTGTCTTGGGTACTGTGTACTTGAGATACTTGAGTGTCTCGGGTACTGTGTACTTGAGATACTTGAGTGTCTTGGGTACTGTGTACTTGAGATACTTGAGTGTATTGGGTACTGTGTACTTGAGATACTTGAGTGTATTGGGTACTGTGTACTTGAGATACTTGAGTGTCTTGGGCACTGTGTACTTGAGATACTTGAGTGTCTTGGGTACTGTGTACTTGAGATACTTGAGTGTCTTGGGTACTGTGTACTTGAGATACTTGAGTGTATTGGGTACTGTGTACTTGAGATACTTGAGTGTCTCAGGTACTGTGTACTTCAGATACTTGAGTGTCTTGGGTACTGTGTACTTGAGATACTTGAGTGTATCGGTTACTGTGTACTTGAGATACATGAGTGTATCGGGTACTGTGTACTTGAGATACTTGAGTGTATCGGGTACTGTGTACTTGAGATACATGAGTGTATCGGGTACTGTGTACTTGAGATACTTGAGTGTCTCGGGTACTGTGTACTTGAGATACATGAGTGTATTGGGTACTGTGTACTTGAGATACATGAGTGTATCGGGTACTGTGTACTTGAGATACATGAGTGTATCGGGTACTGTGTACTTGAGATACTTGAGTGTCTCGGGCACTGTGTACTTGAGATACTTGAGTGTCTTGGGTACTGTGTACTTGAGATACTTGAGTGTCTCAGGTACTGTGTACTTGAGATACTTGAGTGTCTCGGGTACTGTGTACTTGAGATACTTGAGTGTATCGGGTACTGTGTACTTGAGATACTTGAGTGTATCGGGTACTGTGTACTTGAGATACTTGAGTGTCTCAGGTACTGTGTACTTGAGATACTTGAGTGTATCGGGTACTGTGTACTTGAGATACTTGAGTGTCTCAGGTACTGTGTACTTGAGATACTTGAGTGTCTCGGGTACTGTGTACTTGAGATACTTGAGTGTCTCGGGTACTGTGTACTTGAGATACTTGAGTGTATTGGGTACTGTGTACTTGAGATACTTGAGTGTATTGGGTACTGTGTACTTGAGATACTTGAGTGTCTTGGGTACTGTGTACTTGAGATACTTGAGTGTATCGGGTACTGTGTACTTGAGATACTTGAGTGTATCGGGTACTGTGTACTTGAGATACTTGAGTGTCTCCGGCACTGTGTACTTGAGATACTTGAGTGTATCGGGTACTGTGTACTTGAGATACTTGAGTGTCTCCGGCACTGTGTACTTGAGATACTTGAGTGTCTCAGGTACTGTGTACTTGAGATACTTGAGTGTCTCGGGTACTGTGTACTTGAGATACTTGAGTGTCTTGGGTACTGTGTACTTGAGATACTTGAGTGTATCGGGTACTGTGTACTTGAGATACTTGAGTGTCTTGGGTACTGTGTACTTGAGATACTTGAGTGTCTTGGGCACTGTGTACTTGAGATACTTGAGTGTCTTGGGTACTGTGTACTTGAGATACTTGAGTGTCTCAGGTACTGTGTACTTGAGATACTTGAGTGTCTCGGGTACTGTGTACTTGAGATACTTGAGTGTCTCGGGTACTGTGTACTTGAGATACTTGAGTGTATCGGGTACTGTGTACTTGAGATACTTGAGTGTATCGGGTACTGTGTACTTGAGATACATGAGTGTCTTGGGTACTGAGTACTTGAGATACTTGAGTGTATCGGGTACTGTGTACTTGAGATACTTGAGTGTCTCTAACCCCAGTTGGACCTGCTTCGTGTTTCTCATTCAGAACTTCATGCAACTATTACATGTTTCTATGTCAGTTCACTTTATCAAATGATCACAAACTCCCTTTTATGTGGATAGAGCGGGTGCTCTGGCAGCGCCTGGCTGTTTCATACTTAAAGATGTTAAAATATGGTACTTGTTGTTACCCTGCCTGGAGTTAAGGATTTTGCGGATGAAACACAGACTGGTCGGGTCGGAATCATAAATACATGGTTTGTCTAAGCTCATGGGTTTCACCAGCTTGCAAACATCTTTGTCCCCCGGCGTGATATTGCTGGAATATTGCTAAAAGCGGCGTAAAACGATACTCACTCTGTTTGTATTTTCAGGTTCAATTACTGGTATTTACAGTGTCCGGTGATTTACAAATTGAAACGAGGTTAACCCAGAAATCTGTTTTTACAGATCTAAAATGTGAAATTGTTTTATGTGACCACACAAGATCAATGCATAATAATAAATTATATTAAGACGGACTGACTGACTGCTGTGTTCAACAATATTCAACCCAGTTTTCATCGTCATTATTGAATGAATGTGATATAATTTATGTTTTTGTTGAAAACATTTCTTAACATTGTGATCTCTTGTCATATTTGAGTGACTAATAATTTGTATGTATTGATTGTGACTTGATGTCATGTTTATCTTGCCGAGGCAAGGGAGTTAACTGAATATAACTTCCTGTTTCCACCCTTGCCGAACTTGGCTGAAATTTAGAGGCTCGATCATAACACCACCAGTGGCTATTACGGGCCATGCCCCTTCTATGTCCCTCCTACTGACCAATCAGATTCCACCTCTCAAATCACTTGCATTTGCTGTTAACAAAATGGCGGCGCCCAATCATGACAGTCTGGTTGATAATCCAGATCTATATTGTAATAAAACAGGTCATATCACTTGAGCACCTCGATTAAACGCTTTGGAAAATATCTGTCGACCCCTAGTTGACGGTGTACATGCTTTGCAAGTCCTGCAGTTGACCTTAATCTGCATGACAGTCGCCATGTTGTTTGCGAAAATTTGATTGGACTATGCATAGAATTGTTGGTCCAGCCAAATATATAACTCCGGAATTCAGGACTAGTTCGGCAAGGGTGGAAACAGACTTTTATAGTCAATTGTCTCCCTTGCCACGAAAAGATGTGTCATGGTTTGAGAGTCTTTATTAACAAATAACATGTTTTGAAGCATTGACAAGGATGATATGTATTGCTCAACTTGTACTCGAAGTATTTATCAACATGAATGACTTTCATTGCCATGTTTTTTGTTAAGAGGGGACGGTCCGGTAGCCTTGTGGTTATAGCGTTCGCTCGTCACGCCGAAGACCAAAATTCGATTCCCGACATGGGTACAATGTGTGAAGCCCATTTCTGGTGTCCCCTGCCGTGATATTGCTGGAATATTGCTAAAAGCGGCGTAAAACCATACTCACTCACACTCATTTCTTGTTAAGTACCATGTTGTAAAACTGTCACCATCAGCTAAATGTTATTTTGGAATTGATACTACCATGTAATTACTTATAATATGGCTACCTGTTAGTAAGATAAAAGTATCATTTTGAGTCAAACAAAGAAAATATAGCTGCTTTCATTCATCTAGAAAAATAAACAAACATGTCAGAACACTGAGTTTAGTGTTGATAGTTTGTAGTTTGATAAGAGTTGTACTTGATTCCGTCAACATTGATAACACACACAAATAAGTGCAGACAAAGGTGGGAACGTCAACCAGTGTGTTGATGAGGAATCCCATTGCCGATTTTACAATAGTTTCAGAAGCAATCGATTTGTAAATATCAAAGTTTTCATCATCCAAACAGCAATTACACTTACATGATTCTGAGACGACTACCAACAGTTGACTCCAGAATCAGTTGTGAAAAATAATGTTTTTCTTTTCTATATTAGTATTTCTTTTTAGTAAACATGAAAGTTAACAAATTATATACATTGTTCGTACATGTACTTAATGAAATCCTGAAAACTTCAAGGCATGGTATAGTTCTGAAAAATAGGTAATTGTTATAAAATCATGGAAATATATTTTTACAGGTTATTTTCCGGTGATATATCATAAAGAAAAATTAATAAAATTCAAAATGTTTTTCGAGTGAACACCTCCCAAAGTTTCTTATTCTGGGCGTGTTTGTTTGAAGTAACGGTTTTTGTCATGTTAATTCATCCTTTTCATTTTACGTTCCTGTCCCTTGTGTTTTTTGTACCATTTTTTCAAAGAACCAATTGACCATTGTCTGTTCATTCATGTAGACAAATGAAGTGTTTCTAATGTTTGGTAAAATATCATATCTATGTCATTGACGACTGTTGTAAAATATACTGTAATATTAATCTTTCAAAACTGACCTAAGTCTGTTTTTTCTGCCAGCCATCTAACCTAGTCACAATGAGATGTCAGCCTTTGTCGTGCTTTTTCCAGACTAGCTTGTATTGGTTACACTTAGGGGGCATGGGTGGCCCAGTCGTCTAAGGCGCCGCGATTCGCTGTGCAGAGTTGCGTCCCTTGG